CGCGGCTGGAATGTCGCTCTGCCCAGTCCCTGCGCCCTGCCTCGCTCGGATCTCCATATACGGGCACAAAACCCGCGGCAAGGGGGGCCCGGCCGTTCCGGGCAGGGATCAGCCAGCCCAGGACGTGGGGAGGGGTCTCCGCTAACCGGGGCGTGGGGAGGGGTCAGATCCTCTCTGGGTCCCCTGGCAGGTGCTTGCTGTTGGCTAAAGCAGGAAGTGCCTAGGGCCAGTGAGTTTCAAACCGCTCGGATCTCCATATACGGGCACAAAACCCGCGGCAAGGGGGGCCCGGCCGTTCCGGGCAGGGATCAGCCAGCCCAGGACGTGGGGAGGGGTCTCCGCTAACCGGGGCGTGGGGAGGGGTCAGATCCTCTCTGGGTCCCCTGGCAGGTGCTTGCTGTTGGCTAAAGCAGGAAGTGCCTAGGGCCAGTGAGTTTCAAACTTGTTTTTTCCTTATGACCCAGCTGAAGAAAATGTTTAGGCTGGGTTGCAGCATCATGTGGCGGGCGTGCGGGCTGAGGATGGGGTGCAGGGAGGGGCTCTGGCTTGGGGGGCCATGGCTAGGGCAGGGGGCTTACCTTGCACGGCTCTGGGCGGGGGCCCTAACGCAACTTCCTGCCTCTTCTGGCCCTGCAGACCAGACTGAGCCTCCGAAGCAGCCGGCAGCAGGTTCCCAGCCAACGAGTGGGGAGCGGGGATCTAGCGCTCCGGGCAGTCCGGCGAGTCCTGTGCGCTTTTCTCCGTCCCCGGAGCCCGGCCTGTTGCTGGCCACTAATGGGGCGTGGCGCAGCCTGTGGTTCTAGGACAGGCAGGGAGCTGCCTTAGCCCCCCACTGCTCCCCCTGCTGCCGCAACCCCTAGTTTGAAAACCGCTGCACTAAGGAGTGAGCCCTGTCTCCTGGGTTCGTTCCCAGCTTCGGGAGGGGAGTGGTGGGGTCTAGTGGGTTAAAGTGGGGAGAGGGGAGAGCTTGGATCCTGGACTCCTGGGTCCTTTCCCCAGCTCTGCAGCTTTCTCCTTCCCATGGAGGTTCTGGGCAGACTGCTAGGGGGTGGGAGGGCTGTCTTGTGCAAGGTGTCGCTTTGCCTCCTCCCCTGCCAAGACCCCACTCTTGGCTGTTGCCCCCATGGCCACATCCCTCGTGCGAGACTCACCGGGGCTGACCCTTGGGCGTTGCAGTGCCCTGATGCCCCCGGTTGGCCTTAGCGTCAATTACTGTGTGAGCACCTCTAGGGCCGGGTGAAGGCGGAACTGGGGACCCAAGTGGCGCCAACCTGCCAGCTAAGGCGGGTGCAGCGTTGCCATCAAAGGCAGGCGTCTCCCATCCCTGGCTCAGGCTGGGCTCCACGAATGGGCAGCCGCATGCAAGCCCCCTGGCTCTTCCCCGAGTCTGCGTCCGGGAACCTGGATCC